ACGTGCAGCAGCATGGCCACCAGATTCGTGGGCACATCCTTGCTCTTTCATAATACAGCTCTTTTTTGGGGGGTTCGATCACGTAAATATATAAACGTGTCGTTAAACCCGCCGCCACCCGACACAGCCAATTAGTAAGGTTTGTCACGTAAAGATAACATACCACTTCGTCACCAGTACAGCACACCGGTGTGTTGGAGAGCAAAGCCACAACATTTACAATCTGAGTGCGACGTTTCGCCAGTATTTACAACTAGCTTCATCAGGCGATAGCCAGATTTGTGGAGAAAACCTCCACGTTGAGCATACGCGCTCTTATTTGTACCCATTCTCATCGCTCGCGGTTTCGTTGTAGAACACGCGCCTGACTCGCGCCTCTGCGAGGGGCCTCGTCTGGGAAGATGTCGGGACGTGGCCGTCCTCGTGGTTTGGCCACACGAGCCACGTGTGGCCACCCTGCAATGCCCCCCCCAACCCCCCCCCCCCCACCCCGTGTCGTTTAAGTCGGAGCCACTTCTGCCCCGCCCGTGAGCTGGGTGGGCTTTTTGCGCGGCAGTAAACGTTATCCAGCGCTGTCCTCCAGACAGTCTCGTCCCTTCACCTGATGAAGGCCGCTTGTATTGTGGCCGAAACGTCGTGAGAATATTATTGTGTTATTTTATTTGATCAATTTATTATTGTATTCTCATTCTACGTGACTTTACCCGAAGAACCAAAGACGAGTTATCGTTATTGTAGACTTGCGTGCCCCGTAAAGCCTCGCTCTCGAGACTCGTTCAGGTGGGTCCTGCCAAGTTGTCGCGGGATGAAGCGGATGTTGCAATGCGCTTCTTTGTCAAATCAAGTCATTTGCGGTGAAATTCGTCATTTTTTTAAATGACGGCGCGGGTTCTGTGAAGAAGACTGCGGGTAATGTGTAATAGTCCACACACACCACAGGATCGAGTGATGTGTGTAATTACACTTTCATTAAGAACACCACATTCCTGCAAATGTCCTCTGCTCCGTATTTTGAAAAATAAAATATCCCAACGTATCTGGTGCCCAGAGTGCTGTGTGTGTGTGGTGCGCTCGGGGCGAAGCTTGCAAATATGCCCGTAGCTGGATGTTTAATTGCGTCTGTCTATCAGCACGCCTTCAATAACTGCCTCTGGCCAGAGTGAGCACTCGAAAGCGGATAATAATAATAACAAGATAGCGCCTCTCTTAAGCCCGACGCAAACACTAACGGGCAGCAGGTGCTGCGGATGCTGCTGCTGCTGACACGTGCTCGCTTCAGACACGACGCACGCCCCTCGTTTGTTTTGTGGCAGCTGCTCTTTTCACCGCTCACATTGGGCCCCATTACCAAGGTCGCACTTATCAAGTGCAAATAGTATCGCCAACAATTCACGCTGAAAGGCAATCTGCGATACGTCCACTGATCCAATATCAAAAGTGAACAACAGGATACGCGGCACAATTACATCTTTATTAAAGTCAACCTAAATATCTTGCACATGCGTGTATTCTGTAACGTTTTCCAACGTGTGATTGTCTTCCGGAGTATTTTTTGTCGTAATGAATGCACGCTACCTGCTATGTCATACGTATGAGAAACGTTACAGAATCCATGCGTGTGCGTGCCTTTTTTTCTGCCTTGGTTTTAGTAAACACGAACTTTCGTTAGATATCATCACGATGAACATTTAGCAGATTCTCTCGTAAGCTCATTTCCTGAAACGTCACCTATTTTATATTTTCTCTTTGAGCGCCACACCGTGTGATTGACGGATGAGAGTTTAAGTGAATTCTCCAGGCCCGGCTACGTCGCATCACTCGAAGCATCACAGTCGCTGGTTGTTCTTTTTTTCACTCCATATTTTCCAGAATGCTGTTAATCTGACTCGGACCAGAGATCATTGGTGGAAGGCACTACCACTTGAGTGCAACATACGCCTATCAATAATAACCATATTCGCCCGTAATTATACACAGCTTCCGGAATATGATTAAGTCCTGGATTCTTAGAATGATACGAGCTGGTTTTTAAGTAGCGTGAGGACAGAAAAAGGCGAGATGGATATTCCATGCCAAAGTAACTTCCGGGACAGAGATTTTAACTGTTCTGGACTCTTCCAGCTGACATCAAGCACTTATTGCAATTCCGAGTCGCCTTGTCTCTCGCTGACGGCTGGAGCTGAAATTAAACCATAAGTACTCACGCTATCACGCTCATAGCGCAGTGCTTTTATCACGAAGGAAGGCACTACTTCTTTTCAAATACACGGTCTGCAGTAATGTATCAGTAGGAGGCGATGTTGCTATGCGCAAATCCCATATCGAGTAATGTTAAGGTAATTTTTCAAATTTGACAGATTCGGACCGTGACCCCTGCACGCAATGGCCCACTGCTCTTTTTCTAATGACGCCACTGGATCGTTAAGATCCACTGTGAAGCAGACGGCGTGTTGAGTTACTGGTTAAACACCAGCGGTGTTAACCCGGGTGGCCCCGGAGCTTGAACCGCGACGGGCGGAGATGGGTGGAGACTGAGCTGAGCCCATGGGGCTTCAGGGGTCGCGAGGTATATTAACACGTGGCGCCGGTCGCGTCGCGCTGACGAGGGCTTGGAGGCGGCGAGGAGGATGGCTGGCGTGGCCGTGCTGTGCGTCTCGGCGTGGTTCATCTCTCTCTTTAGGTAACAGAACAACAACAACAACTGACTTAAAACTTTCGTGAATGCAGGAATTCATATTGTTTGGTTCTTTCGGTAAAATCACGTAGATAGGAAAATGATAATAAAAAATAGAGTGATTTTTTTAAAGAATATAACAACAACGATAGAGACCACACTGCGTCGTCGTATTCCCATTACCACACCCATACTAGACAGTTTCTCTCACAATGATGGTATGTATGTAAGTCTCTACTGGTTGTCCTATAGGTAGCCTCGCCCCCGCCATATGACTGTGGAATGTTGAGCACCGGTTCAGGGCTGTTGATAGGATATGGGCGTTGCTTTCATGGTAAATTTTTCCCCAGGAAATCACTGCCTTTTTATTTGTTTTATGATGGGTTTTTTGGGTTGTATTGCGTATTTTTGGGCACGATATCCGACGTTTCGCTCCATGTGCTCAGAAGAATCTTGAGGAACTGAACATTCCGCTCCACCGTGCCCGCATTGGAGCTTCTCCAGGAACCTAATTCAAACGTCGGACATCATCCCGGGAAACACGCATGTCAACCCGAAAACGCATCACAGAGCTATACGGCACAATCGCGAAAGGGCTACATAGGCCTGTAGTGTTGGTCATCAAGACATCGTTATTACTACACGTTTTTAACCGTGTAGTAAATCTCGAGTTGTTTCAATGGGCGGAAAAAAGTGCATTAAGTTGGTATGCTCCGGTGAATGGAGAGGGTAAAGCAAACCCCATCTGAGACATCACTGCGGTGACGAGATGTTAACTACCTCGCCTGGTAAACAGGGTTCGATCCAGATCCGGACGCGCTGTATATTTGTAGTTTGAATGTCTCTCTCCCCGTGGTCGCGTGGATTTTTCTCCGGGTCCTCCGGTGTTTCTCTCCCAATTTAGAAACGTGCGTTTAAAGTACTTCGCTGAAATACATTTCTACACGGTGAGCCACTTCGGTGAGCTATCATTTATGGCCAGGTCGCTTCTGAAAAAATAGCTATACAGCTCAGTGGGCCTTACCTGATGAAATAAAAAAAATGTTTAGTTTATGTCTGTCAAAGTGACTACAAGTCACCAGAATGGGCCACAAATTGTAGTTACTCTTGTTATGAAAAGTGGCATAAGTGATAACGTGACATACCCTTCGTGGCAATAACAAACTGTGTGCAATGATAACATTAGAGGGAAAATAAATTAAAATTGGCTATGAATCCCGTGAGTGGAACACCGCAGGGCATGTGATGCCATTTAATACAACCAAAATAAATGATCAGAACATTCGCCTCTTTCCCGTATCTGTGTCTCCACGTTCAAAAGTACATACCACTTTATATTTGGAACATCCCATCGGCCACACGGCCTCCTGGGAAAGCATTTTGTCTTCAGCTGCATTGGTTTAACGCATTCAGTGTCTCATCAGCAGATACAGGCTTGCTTGCATTTGCAAGTTGAGTATGGGAAGGAGTGGATGCGAGGAGTGTGGAGACGTCGCAGCCCTGCGAGGTGGCCTCGGTGTCTCAAGAGTTGTCTTCTGCAGTAGATCTCAACGTCTAATTTCGTGGGCCATTGCTCGGCCGCAAGGCCGTGCGTGAGACGTGGTCCGCTCAACTTTTGTAGATACAACAGTTCTGTTTTGTTGCTGCTGCTACACAAAACACGACAATTATCCCTGTCCATTGCACAACTCTTTATTGTAAGTCTCAGAAACACAAGTTAATGTATATATAAATTGTACGGATTTTTATTTAACTTTTTTTTTTACAGCCCCTTTGGAAAACGTAGTGTTCATTTGGAAACATGTTATATTAGCGTACATGCTTACTCCGAGAGTGTGATCACTGTGTGAGCGTTAACAGTGGTCACTGTGTGAGCGTTGACAGTGGTCACTGTGTGAGCGTTGACAGTGGTCACTGTGTGAACGTTGACAGTGGGTTGAGCGGGTCCAGCAAGGTTGAGTACCACGGTTTCTAACGCGTGTGTGTGTGTGTGGGGAGCGGTGGTGTTGCGGTTAGCGCTACGCTGCGCTACGAACCTGGCGACTGGGGTTCGATTCCCGCTCACGGACACCAACACCCAGTGACGATCATTTGAACCGGTCCTGGGCCTCCCCTAGGTCGACTCAGCCTCAAATGAGTACTTGGTGCGGTGTGTAAACATCGCCACTGGGAAGACAAAGGCGGCCGGGCGTGGTGTTGGCCACCCACCCCCTCGCGTGCCGTGCCTTCCTTCATAGCACTTGCCCCAACAGTCTGTTAAACCTACACGGTGGTCGAGAAGTTCATGGCGGCGGCTACGGATGTGTAACAGCTCGGTCGCGTCTCTTCCGAGTCTCCAGCCTCTCGGCCCAGGCGCCTGGGAACTCGAGCAACAACAACAACAACAAACCGTCGCCCTTCCTGTCCATGGACAACGTGATCCGCGACACGGGCTACGACAGCCGCATGCGGCCCAACGTGGACGGTGAGAGAGAGGAGCCGCTGGCCTCCCGAGTGCCGCCGGATGAAGCTCGTGTTATAGAGGGGCCCTATATTAAAAACAAAACATTAATATTAAAACACACATTTTTTGTAACTTGCATAGTAAAGTAATGTTATTTTTTCATTTGCTATACAGCCAGATCATACGGCAAATCGCTAACCTTAAACACCCAGTCGTTCATAAATGTAGGTGGTATAGTACTATAGTAATAGAGCAAGTGTAGAATCGCTGAACTGGAGACTCTTTGAATTTTTGAAGCTTTTAACATACATTTGTTATCATGTTACAGTGTGATATCCGTTCTTTTTCCATGAAAAACGAAAGTACACTAAAAAATGTTAATATCTTTTTGAAGCACCCTGTAATTGTGTGCGCTTGGTTATGAATTTGTTTTTATTTATTTTCTGTTTGAATGGTAGGGCCTCCCGTTGTCGTAAACTGCAGCATTTTGGTGAAGGGCTTTGGGCCCGTCGAAGAGGCGACCATGGTGAGTCGGGAGGCGGTGACGTTCCTTCACGTGACGTATGACGTCACAAACATTCGCAATGTACACAAACTCCGCAATATTTTTTCGCGATCTGGACTCAGTGGGATCTTATGTTGGTTGCGCGTCTCCTACTGTGAAGCGATGGTGGTAGCGACGAGCAGTGGCTACGATGATGCCCTTGGCCATGATGGCGTTTCGATCTCAATGGACGTTGTTGTAACTCCACGTATGCGTTCGTTTCTTTGAACGCGTGCCGTCCTCAGCGAGGCTGGAATATGAGCCACAACGTCTTCCTCGGGGTCGACGCACCCTTTAGCCACCGTGGTGGTGTTGTTATTATGTATGATCAACAAGATTATATATACATACCTGTCAACCCATACAGTTTACCCGTATTATTGTATAGGCAAATTGAGTTTTCAGGTACATACGGCGTATAGCCGTTTCAATAAGGGCAACATTTGGTTTTAGTTTTTTTTTTCTTTTTATTTGTATTTTTAACTTGTGATGGGACTTTGTAGGATGAACGTTGAGATTTATAAGGGTACAGGGTGACCAATAAGGTCTGAATTGGTCTGTAATAAGGTAGGTACTGATAAAGGGTTGACAGATATGTGGTGTCCAGTGGATGGTGATGGTGAACGTGGTGTTGGTAATTAAAACATTGCTAATGACGAACGTCTTTAATAAAATAACGGTGGCCTTATTATTCCCTAGGATTACAGCATCAACATTTTCCTGCGTCAGACTTGGAATGACCCCCGCATCCTGAACGTCTTGAAGAGCATCGAGTACAACACTGACTTCTTGGATCTTGGGAACAGTTTTGTTGACTCCGTGTGGAAGCCTGACCTCTTCTTTGAAAACGAGAAGAGTGCAGCCTTCCACACCGTCACCACGGACAACAAAATGCTGAGAGTGTTCAGAAATGGGGACGTGTTCTACTCCGTGAGGTGAGCTCTCTGGGTGGGAAAGACTGAGGTTTTTGGCATCTGGCAAATAAGGGGGGGAATGTATTCCAACAATCGTCAGAATGTATCAGCTGGTAACTGGCCTGGTGGCTCAGCGGTACAGCAAGTGGCTCGCAATTGGAAGGTTGCGAGTTCAAATCCTGGTGGGGCTAAGTCAAACTTTATGAGAATTTGAACTCTAGACCTTTCCACTTAAGAGCCGGTCGCTCTACCTCTGAGCTACCACGGTGGCGATGTCCTCTCCTGAGATGACAGTGCTGAGTGATCAAGGCCAATTTAACTTTTAAAACCCCAACCATTTATTGAACCAGTTAAGATATGTAGCCAAATTCATTTATGGGAGCGTAATCCTGGAGCACCAAATGCAATTTTGGTTATGTTGTCGGTTTAAATTCAGATAAATAACCGGTTAATTTAATTTTTTGTGTCCTGGCTTTGCTTCGGTTCATCTCTCTGATGAGTTTATCAACCCGGGATTTGAATTCGGAACCTTCCGCTTGCAAGCAACTTGCTCTATCTCTGAACCACGCGGTCGGAGTGTGCTATAGTGGCCATGCACACTTATAAAATAACGGTCATTAACCTTCCACCCGAGGCGAAAGCACCACCACAAAGGTTTAAAGAGGGAAATTATGTTAATTTTGTCCAAGAAATACACTATGTTCATTGAATCGATATACTAAGTGGATCACTGTCGTATATATCTATGTTTATTTTATTTTAAATATATGTATACGTTTGCCATGTGGATAACATGTTTTCTGTGTTTCAGATTGTCTCTCGTACTTGCGTGCCCCATGAGTCTGGAGGTTTATCCCATGGATGCACAATATTGCAGCATCTATCTTGAGAGCTGTGAGTGAAAGCACATTAAACAATATATCATCGCATAGCAGGTGGCCGGCTGACATCGCTGAGATCCTGGGTTCCAATCCAGGTTTTAGTCGCCCAGTCATGATTCAAAGTGGGTTCTCAGGTGAAACGAGTTGAGCCAAATTAGCCAACGCAACTAATTTGGCTAAATTCCAGCCCTGAAATGTAGATATCGGTTTCACTGTCATACGATGAAAGTTACTCTCGTATGCAGAGTGGGTGGAAAAATACTGCCCTCTACTGTGTGGAGCAGAGGTCACTTGAAGGGACCTCGGAGGTAGCTCTGTGATATCCGGTTTCCCTCTCTTCACACGCAGCATCGCACTGCTCTGCGAGATGCATAATGGGTTCAGCCGTCACCTGACGCGATGGCAATGGTGCAATTGGGATCAAATTGCGTAAAAATTGCAAACGTTTTAAGAATGATATGTGATTAAATAAACCTACATTGGAGGTGGCTTCATGGCCCAGAGCAATGAGGTGGCACCGCTGAGTTCCTGCAATTAAACTGGGTTCTCATGTGTAGCGAGTTGAAAGTCCCTATCCAGTTTTCGACTAGTGCACACAGAAACACCGTAACATAAACTTTGGTTTGTCGCTTCATCTGGCCTCTTCCAATTTGGTCTAATCCAGCTCGGCCTATTCCAGCTCGGCCTTTCCCAGCTTGCGACTAACAACCTCCACAGGCCACGTGTACCAAGTGTGGATGCCAAACGTCTCACGCTTTTAGGCACTTTCTCTGACACATGGGCTGTTGCATGGGTAGCTGCAGAGGTCCCAATAAAATGTCCTTGTCTCATGACATGAAGCCAATAGCAGAATTGGAATTATTGGTAAACATAAAGACACAGCTTCACGCCCTCATGAAACGTTATACTCCGCTTGTGTGAGCTGCTTTGGCTGCCCTGGCTGCTTCTGGCGAGGGGCTGCCCTGGGATTCATTGCTGGGCCCCAGTTTCCTCATCCTGGGGTGTGTCCTCGTGTTGTTTATGGCTCTCATCAGTGGCATGACTCAGCGGAGGCCGCTCGTTGCGGAAGTTAAATTACAGAGCAGCCGTCCTGTTTAATTATGCGTATAAAATAAATACACTCCTTCTGCTTCACGGTGGACGTTAAAGGTTCCGTGATGCCATTCGTAAGAGGAAACCGTTGTGCGCCAACGTCATCGTCAGTTTTGTTGAAAATAACCCCAAAATGACATCGTTGGAATATACGTAGCATCATCGTCCCCTTTTACGATGAAATCCGGTTGAAAAAACCGTAACTTTCATTGTGCACTTTCAGATGGATATACAACGAATGACCTGATATTCCAGTGGAATGACACGGAGCCCGTGAGTTTCGGCGCTGGCGTTTCAACCCCGAAATTCACACTCTCTAACGAAACGTTCCTCGGTGAATGCACGAAGGAGTACACGTACGGTGAGTACGAAGCAGTTCGTTCGGCTCAACACGACAAACGTGCACGGGGATGAACGTCACGTCGTTTGCTTTTAACCCAGCGGTACTCAACATTGATGGCATCAAGACCGTCAAGACCACGCACGGGTCCCCACACCCACCTTCCCAACCCCCTTTGCCCGCCCAGGATACTTAAGCCAAAATACACAGACATCATATGTCCATGCCCCTATTCACTGCAGTGTTAGCGAGGCTGTCACTTTATCTCATGTAACTTAACCCTTAGGTTCTCACAGGTAAGTAATATTGAGCCATGTTTGATTTTGTTTTCCCACCTATTTTGGCAAATATTATTTTTTTAATGTCTCCATGTTTTTATTTACTGAGAGAGACAGATGGAAATGCAGCACATGACCCAGGGAGTATGACTTCCTGGGTCATGTCCTGATAATGTTTGTCACAAATTAAAACTAAATGTTGCTTATCTAATTTATTAAATTGGTTGTGAGAATTGTTTTTCAACTTCCCAGTGAGCTGAAACGGTGATAATCGGCGCACTCCTAAACGCTTGTGCTCTAGGTGTACATTGTTTGTGTTTGGCCTTAGTGTTGGACCTTAACGACAAGAATTTGGTTGGATTGTTTGTGCGACCTAACCCAAAAATAAGTAATTATTTATGTTGTGTATTTGTGAGCTTTGCCGACATTTCCCGAGCACAATCGAAATTTCCACCGCTGCTTGAGGACTTTAAAGAGCAGATTAATCTCTCCACATACATGTTTGAGCAGGAAATACATTGTGAATTTTTCCTTTTGCTTATAATTATAAATTGCCCATGGTGAGATCGACGTAAAGATGCCGATAATGATGATGCCATCTGGCTTCTTACAGGTACATTCTCCTGCGTCAAGGCCACATTTTTCCTGGACCGAGACATGGGCTACTACCTCATCCAGGTCTACATACCCAGCTGCCTCCTGGTCATCATCTCCTGGCTCTCGTTCTGGCTCAACGTGGAGGCCGCGCCGGCCCGCGTGGGCCTGGGGATCACCACCATCCTCACCGTCACCACGCAGATGACCTCAGCGAATGCCGCCCTGCCCAAGGTGCTATGTGATTACGATACAAATCAACTTTACTCGTGGCTGTTATGAAGATCAGGGCCACCCAGAGGAAGAAGGAGGGTGGAAAGGCAAAAGAGGAAATTTGCCCTGGGCCTCACACAAAACAGGGCCCCACAACGTGCTTGTGGATGGTAGAATAAGGGGCCCTATGTGACATATTGCCCTGGGGCTCGAGGAACCTCTAAGGGCCCTGATTAACCCTTTCACATTTCGATGACGTATGTATACGTATGTATACGTCATCAGTTTTTAGTAAAAAGGCCATGTGGAAGGGTGTGTGGTACAGTTTGTCGACAGTTATCATAGAATGTGGTCGTGTCACTACACTTCTCTGCAGTGAGTACAATGTATTTAAATACAGCGGCACTATGATTTAAAAAAAAGAAGAAAATTCACGCTAACCGCTTGCTTGTTCACGGGACCTACCCTGCAACTTGCAGACGTCTCGAAACGGGGAAGGGTGAAGATGTACGATGTGCCTGCCAAGGGTGTCATTCTCTAGTGGGGTTTTTCCGGGTCACTGAGGCCCTCGAGCTTCAGTGTCAGGACAGATGACCTCAACAGATGACCTCAGTTGTTTTGCTGACCGCTTCACACGCTGGGGCCTTTGGGCCATGTGGTCAGTAACTGTGTAAAAAAAATGTCCATTCCAACAAAGCACAGAGCCACTCCATCCACACCCACATCTCCACTTACATCTAAGTGTATTTTGTTTAGCCAGGTGGTAACTCAAGTGACCAGGGAAGTCTAATTTGCCAGAGTAACTTGGGTCACCAAAATTACAAGAGCAATAATATAAATACAATAATACGGCAACTAGAAAACAGTGGTAAAACAACCACATAACAGAGGGGATCGAAGCAGTACACAAACACGAATAAATAATAAATGAAAGACATTTCTTGAAACAAAATTCAGCTCGGACAAATACATTAAAACAACCGTTCTTCGTAAAATTAAGTTACAGAAACATTAAAAGGCGCAAAAGCCTACGAGTTAAACTCATCAAGAGGCGTGTTGAGTGATTATTTGACAGGTATCCGTCAAATACAAAGAAGGCAATTGTGAGAATTGTGTTGGTTTAACAATACGCATTGTGACTTGTCCTCCCAGGTGTCCTACATCAAAGCCATCGACGTGTGGATGGGTGCATGCCAGGTGTTCGTATTTTCTGCCCTACTGGAGTTTGCCGCTGTGAACATGGCCACCAGACGACACGGAATCAGCCCCAGCCATCACGACGGCGACCATGGCACCAAGGGAGAGGTGGGGGGTTGTTTTGCAAAATGTTACAAATACGTTTCAGCTTCCGATAGAGTGGAAGCGACATCGGCACGCGAACGTGTCCTCTGTCAGGCGGCCACAACGCCATAGGCCAGAGAGGGATTGTCGGTCGCAGGGCAAGCCCGGGGTTTTTTACACGAATAGCCGTCGAGATGAGAATAATGCCACGAGAGTGCACGTGAGTCAAAATAGAAATGTACGGCAAGGTGTGTGAGGCGTGGTGTGTTCATGTCCCTGTGTAGGTGAGCGATGAAGAATGGCGCTACCAGTCTTTGCTGCACGCTCGTCGGATCGACTATATTTCCCGCGTCATCTTCCCAACCGTCTTCATGATTTTCAACATCTTCTACTGGGTAATCTACCTGAAGCTCTCCTTCCACTAGAACCGCGCTGGGCCGCGCGGTGAGAGCGACACGAGAGGTGTCTTCGATCCAAACACGAGGTCCGGTGCCGCTCGTGCTCAGCGCGTGCAGCTGCACAGCGACACCCCCCCCCTACACACAAATTTAGGGTCCCACACGACGTTCAACGTATGTCTCCGTGTGCGTGTGTGAGTTCGTCTCGTCTGCTTCTTTCCGTCGTTATTCATCCATCTGCGTTGAGCCCAAAATATGGTCCCTCTAACCCCCATTCGCGACAAGTGGTGGCTTCATTATGGTGTCCTCAACCAGACAGTAGCATGCAAACCATTAAGAGGTGATCATGGTCAAAGCCGCCGATGCCACCACAACCTTACTTTCGCTCTCTACACAGTAGACACGCGATCTCCAAATATCTGCCCTGACAGTCTCCCGCCCTGTGGCCTCAGGTCTTCTCTTCCCCTTGTTTGCTGGACTCGTGGAGACCATTACAATGTCTGTGTTGTTAATTGGCCCTCCACCATCCTGGACACACGTATTATCCAGCAGAACCGTTTCACCTGATACTGTCTACAGCACTCACCTGCCGCGTTCTCTTCCCGACTTCTGCATTGCTTATCCTGTTTCCCCCCCCCCCCCCACACAAAATGCATTGCATCCATCACAGACACCGTTCCCAACAATGTATTATCAAAGCAGCTTAGTTATCTGTGTTCCTGATCCACACAGTAACACAGATAGATCCTGCTTCAAACACCCTCCTTACACTCGTTTGATATGAAAAACATGTACTTGGTGAGTGCACTCTGCGGTCACGCGGACACACGGCCACTGACGCATCATTATTCATGCAATCGCATTAAAATCCTCAGTCACGTGTTACCCGTAGTGCTGAAAGTTATGACTACCGACTGCTCAGACGATTGATCCGATGAGCAATGTTTCTATCTCGGAGCAGAGCTCAGTGATGCCACTTTCTGCGAGGCCCCGTGAATTGTTGATTGCAATCCAAATATTTCTTTTGTCGGAACGATATTAATGTTGACACAAAAGAAAGAAAGAAAGTGATAGGCCCGTGTTAATGCCTCCCCTATGTCCATTCCGGCAGCTCAGAGATCATAGTGCCGAGGTCCTGGGTTCGAACTCGGGCAGCCACCTTTGATGAAACCTGGTTAAAGTCCAGTTTTAAATGACCATCACATTAACTGTGGTTTTATGCTTCATGTGCCTTAAGTTCCAGCTCTGAGAATATAAAATATAGGTTCGACTGTCATGCGATGAATGTTGCTCTCACATGTAGAGCATATGGGAAAGTGCTGCCTCCTACTTTCTGGACCGTAGATCATTCGAAGGGATCTCAGAGGTAACTCTGCTATATCCTATTCCATGACCATTCTCATGAACATTCTGAAAAGCTGGGAACAGGACACGTGCGCATAAACGGTAACCACAGATACATTCACCTTGTACGATTTGCCCATGATACTGGGGAGTTGAGATAATCCCCAGGTTAGTTTAACGTGATTATTCTTGGCTGCCTCTAGATGGTTATATATATGTACACGTGTTTGTGACCACGCGTGTACATGTAAGGCATATACAGTGAGGGAAAAAAGTATTTGATCCCCTGCTGATTTTGTACGTTTGCCCACTGACAAAGAAATGATCATATTCTTGGTTCTTTCGGTAAAGTCACGTAGAAGGGAAACAATAAAAATATAAAACAATAAAATTCTCACGACGTTTCGACTGCAACACAAGCAATCATCATCAGGTGTGAAAACCACAGCAAGAAAATTTGAAAAAAAGTGGCGGTTATTTTTAACGTTAGCACCACGGAGAGCGATTTGACAGTTTGTTCAGATGGACGAGTCCATCTATGTTCGGAAAAGAGGAGGGGGGAGACGAAAATAATGGATGCGGTCTGAAAGCCACCGTATGCTTGAACAATCAATTAAGACCCGAAATGGTTTATCAAATCCTTCCAATGATTGCTAAGCCAGAATCCATGTTCTCGGTGGAAATTGTCTGTGTTTGTATATGTGGATGGCCTCATGAACGAATCTCTTTCATGGTAGCCAGATGGCTTGCAAAGAACCTCTGTCTTGGAGAAGTCAATGTCATGACAATGAACCAAGAATATGAATCCCTGCAGTCAGGAAAGCTTTAAATAAAAAAAAAATATCAGTCTATGATATTAATGGTAAGTTTATTTGAACAGTGAGAGACAGAATAACAACAAAAAAATCCAGAAAAACGCATGTCAAAAATGTTATAAATTGATTTGCATTTTAATGAGGGAAATAAGTATTTGACCCCCTCTCAATCAGAAAGATTTCTGGCTCCCAGGTGTCTTTTATATAGGTAACGAGCTGAGATTAGGAGCACACTCTTAAAGGGAGTGCTTCTAATCTCAGTTGTTACCTGTATAAAAGACACCTGTCCACAGAAGCAATCAATCAATCAGATTCCAAACTCTCCACCATGGCCAAGACCAAAGAGTTTTCCAAGGATGTCAGGGACAAGATTGTAGATCTACACAAGGCTGGAATGGGCTACAAGACCATTGCCAAGCAGCTTGGTGAGAAGTTGACAACAGTTGGTGCGATTATTCGGCAATGGAAGAAACACAAAAAAACGTCAATCTCCCTCGGCCTGGGGCTCATTGCAAGATCTCACCTTGTGGAGTTGCAATGGTCAGGAGAACGGTGAGGAATCAGCCCAGAACTACACGGGAGGATCTTGTCAATGACCTCAAGGCAGCTGGGACCATAGTCACCAAGAAAACAATTGGTAACACACTACGCCGTGAAGGACTGAAATCCTGCAGCGCCCGCAAGGCCCCCCTGCTCAAGAAAGCACATATACATGCCCGCCTGGAGTTTGCCAATGAACATCTGAATGATTCCGAGGACAACTGGGTGAAAGTGTTGTGGTCAGATGAGACCAAAATGGAGCTCTTTGGCATCAACTCAACTCGCCGTATTTGGAGGAGGAGGAATGCTGTCTATGACCCCAAGAACACCATCCCCACCGTCAACACATGGAGGTGGAAACATTATGCTTTGGGGGTGTTTTTCTGCTAAGGGGACAGGACAACTTCACCGCATCAGAGGGACGATGGACGAGGCCATGTACCGTCAAATCTTGGGTGAGAACCTCCTTCCCTCAGCCAGGGCATTGAAAATGGGTTGTGGATGGGTATTCCAGCATGACAATTACCCAAAACACACGGCCAAGGCAACAATGGAGTGGCTCAAGAAGAAGCACAATAAGGTCCTGGAGTGGCCTAGCCAGTCTCCAGACCTTAATACCATGGAAAATCTGTGGAGGGAGCTGAAGGTTCGAGTTGCCAAACGTCAGCCTCGAAACCTTAATGACTTGGAGAAGATCTGCAAAGAGGAGTGGGACAAAATCCCTCCTGAGATGTGTGCAAACCTGGTGGCCAACTGCAAGAAACGTCTGACCTCTGTGATTGCCAACAAGGGTTTTGCCACCAAGTACTAAGTCATGTTTTGCAGAGGGGTCAACTACTTATTTTTCTCATTAAAATGCAAATCAATTTATAACATTTTTGACATGCGTTTTTCTGGATTTTGTTGTTATTCTGTCTCTCACTGGTCAAATAAACATACCATTAAAATTATAGACTGATCACTTCTTTGTCAGTGGGCAAACGTACAAAATCAGCAGGGGATCAAATACTTTTTTCCCTCACTGTACCAAAAAGCATCACGCTTCCCCAGGAGCTGCCAAAGTGGGGTAATGCTCAGCACACGGAGATTGCCGGTTCGATTCCATCTCGTGACGCGGCAGTCGAAACAACGCGAAAAGTTCCTCACCTCGTCCCACTCGTGCCTCTGTCCACCCAGCAGGACCAACGGGAACGCGCCAGTTACGACTCATGGGTGGGGAACCTTTTTTTTTCTCCCAAGGGCCATTTGGATATTTACAACATCATTCGCGGGCCATACGAAATTATCAACTTAAAAATTAGCCTGTTATATTTGGTCAAACATTTAATTAACTCGCCCTTTTAATGTGATGGCTGGAACTGCTTCTCTTTAGTGAGGCGTGTGATGATGTTAGCTGGTATTGATGATGTTGCTACTCGCAACTGCTTTTCCAGGTTTGCTCCTAGATTTATTGGACTTCGAGTCCCGCCTGCGGCTGCCTTGGCAGGGCCACACCAAATGATTTCGCGGGCCTCATACGGCCCGCGGGCCGGACGCTCCCCACCCCTGAGTTACGTCAATCGGCAGCTCACGTGGCGTGGGGTGAATTGGGGGGTACTCTCACCTCTTCCAACACGCGTGGTCGATGTGGAAGGGTGGACCAAATTCTCCGTGGAGTTCACGCTTGCGGACGCCCTTCTGCCAGCGATTCTCTCCATCAGACAACCGCTGCTAAATTATCCACAAACTGTTAGTAATTTGATCGACCCCGGAGAGATGATGGGCTGAGTCAACCCCCAACCAGAAATTGTGTGATGACCCGCGTTGTACAAGTGCAGCGCATTAAGACAGGCTGGGCCTTTTAAATATCTAAATGTAATCTGAATGTCATTGACCGATTTTGATTGCTGGGTATACAGCTTTCCACTAGATTTGTTACGTAGCAACAATAATCAGGACTAAAGAAAACACACTGTCAACACCAAACATGTTTGGTTTTGTCAGGACAAAACGTTAAAATAACAACAGAAGCAAGTGTCACTTGACGTAAAGTCACTAAAATCATTGTGAGCAACGTTTTTGCCAAAGCAGCAAATTAATTCTAGGCGAGACACACGCAGGTGCAGGATGTGGGGTGGGGGGGACAGCCGTTTGACCGAGTGCAGCAGTTCAGTCAGCCCGAAGGCTTCATCCCCTGACTCATTCTATTTAACCAAACAGACCATACTGTGTCTATCGTCTGGTCGGGTGGCCCAGCGCGAGCAGCTCTTATTGGAAGGTTCAAATCTTGGCTGAGGGTGTTGAATGAACGCACCATAACTTCGATTAAAATGAGTGCCACTTTGTGGGGAGATCAGCTCGTGGTTGTCTTACATGGGTAGCCTTGTGCGCCACAGGGAATGCGGAATTTCCACTACCGGCTGTCAACACGAGATGAGCACTGCGTTAAAATGCTTGGTTTGAGCTGGAAGTCAACATTTGACTTTAACATAAATCAGTCACTTTTTACTTCCACGTTTCCGAATACCGTGATGAGGGTCAAACGATGTTATGCACAGCTCCACTCTCAACAGTGCACACTCTTTTACCATATGACACGTTATGATTTTTTGTTTTGTTTAGAACATTCACACGATGTAGTCTTAAACGATTTAAAGATACATTTCGATGTAAAGCTTTCGTGACTGCAGGGATTCATCTTCTTGGTTCTTTCGGTAAAGTCGCCACCACGTAGAAGGGAAACAATAAAATAATAAAAATAAAACATAATAAAATAAAATTCTGACGACGTTTCGGCCACAACACAAGCAGCCGTCCTCAGGTGAAGAAACAGAAACGTCGTGAGAGTTTTATTTTATTACGTTGTACTTTTATTATTTTATTATTTCCCTTCTACGTTACTTTACCGAAAGAACCAAGAAGATTTAAAGATACACACGAATATAACGTGCTTTGATAAATACAGTATGCAAATTAAGTGTGCTCATATAAATCTACATCTTGCTGAGAAATCTGTACATGTTGCATTTATGGAATTTACATATTTGAATAAACAATCATGTTTCTGCTAAAATCTTGGGAATTTTATACTGTAGAATTTTATGAAATGAAGATCATTTTCATGTCAGTGGTGTAACACGCGAGAAGATGTTCCATGTATATGCTGTTTATTGGAATAAAAGGCTTGATTTCAACCTTAAAACGCTTACGAATAACACGTTCCGATGAACTATTGTCAAGACTTTTACTGCATACAGGTCTATAATAATCAGGAATCTGGCGTTATTCAAACTTATAAATCAGGATTATGAAACTCAGTAACAATTCAGTCTATTCTATTTTTGCATATGGAAGGAGCACAGGCAACAGCGGCTTACTCTATGACAACAATCACACGACTGTGGCATGTCTTTAATTATCCATCTATGAAGGGGATGTGCGCATCGGCCTATCGATGTTCCGATGCGCTTGATCATTAGGCCAGCGCAGCCACAGAAGGAACAGCGACGGGGGAGTCGACTATCCACCGGTGAGCGTGCGAGTCACCGCGCGCGTCACAGTTTATTCTCGATGGTGGCGCACGCCTTGTGCAAGCGCTCCACGCGCTCCATCACCATGCGCCGCTTCTCCATTGCGTCTTCATCCTCGCACAGCAGCTCGGCCAGGTTGCCCTCCTGCGCCAGCGCCGTGAGCTCCGCGCCCAGCGCCACCACCAGCTCGTCCAGCATGTTGAAGCGCACCACCATGGGCACCATGTCCATGAGCCGCATCAGCGCGATCTGCGGCATGCAGGGGGACCGCACGCCCGATCGGATCGAGTTCCTTTCCACTTTATTGTTTTAGTATTGTGTACGAATGCATGTTGCACTTCTATCACACCATACGTAGCCAATTGTGCTACTCGGAGGTTTGGGGAAGAACAACAAACGAAACACAATGATCACTATTACACCTGTTTACCCAGGAAAGCCTCATTGAGTGGTCCCAAGACTCTTTTCCAGGGCGGTCCTGCCAAGCTTTTGGACGTGTATGTATATGTGATGTACATGTGTGTGTGTGGGTGTGTGTGTGTGTAGCGGATAGCGCACTGCGCTACAAACCTGGCGGCCTGAGTCCGATTCCTGCTCACGGACAACACCAGTAACGATTATCTGAACCAGTGCTGGGCCTCCCCTAGGTCGACTCAGCCTCAAATGAGTACCTGGTGCGATGTGTAAACATTGCCACTGGGGAAACAAATGCGGCCGGGCGTGGTTGCTGGCCACCCACCCTCTCGTGTGCTACTCCGGCCTTCATTAGGTGCTCGCTAACAGCACTTGCCCCAACAGTCTATTAAAGACTATAGGGGGGAGCTTTTTCTTTCTGGGGATGTGCATGTGTATGGGCACGAACCTGTCTGCATGTGTTTATCGTACCTTGAAATATGAGCGCAGATGTTTGTTCATCACATCCAGATCCTCGTCCAGGCTGCTCACATCAAGTAGCCTTTTGCCCTTAGACTTGGGATGGTTGTTGGAATTGAAGATAAATGGAGTAACTTCCGTGACTTCATGATCTTGCTGGTGCTCTTCTCTTAGGCTATTCTGATAGAGCATATCCTACACATGCAAAGACAGTCGTAGCAACTCACAGTCCAATAAGTAACCAACACTTCTGTAATAACTATAGGTAGCAGAATATATTTTTTACAGAACTGCAATAGAGATTGGTACCCCAGTCGAAGTTAAGTACACCCCTGGAAAATAGTGTCCCAAAAATAAAATATTGAATTGCCTGACCAGTTTGTATTATTTGGTACCCCGGGGTACCGCCATAAGGATCATATGGTGGTGTGTTGATCTTTATTACAGTATGCCACAGTGTTGATATACCTAGGCTGAAATGACTGTGTTCTTGTGTAAACCACTCTTATTGGCCGTATAAGTAAATCGGGTACGAATAAAGATTTGCTACTTTAGTTGGTACCAATTCCCGCTTTGGGCCATGGACTGTGTCTGTGAAAGGGAGTCCACACGAGGCGATATTCGGGCAAGGGATTTATTTTAAGCCCCACACACTGCAACACATTCACACCCCTCACAAGTAGCTTTTTTCTTCGGGAGCCCTGGAAACACGTCACATAGCCCCCTGATTTATATCTCTTCCGCCCCCCCCCCTTATCCACCCCCCACGATCTTTCTGGAACGTTCCAGCAAGCTCCTCTCATTTCCTCGCTCTCTACAAATCCTGTCCCTTGGCCTCTCTCTTCTTCCTCTCCCTCCTTTCTCTTTCCTGCCAAATCTCTTCTCCGGTCCTCAAGATAATCCTCTGCCTTCTTCTTCCCGGCTGCGTTCTGAATCGGAATCTTTATTTATCCTGTAATAATCTGATGAGCTATGAAGCTCTTTTTCACGAATGTTCCCGCCGCCTTTTATTTTCTTACTCATCTCGGGGGGTGTCTCCGTGCCCTCGCATAGCCCCAATGTGTCTCTACACGATGGCTCTCACAGATGTAGTGAGTTCAAAGAGAGTAGAGACGGCCTGCAGAGGCAACACGTTTATTCCAATAACAACAGTAACGATCCCTAACACAGTGGGGTAGCGGACCCTTCACCCAATACCTGGGGAGGTATAGCCTCTGGGCTAGCGTGCCCTATCAACTGGGGCTACGTACTCCCAGCCCTCCGGCTAAGGGGTCCTAGGGGATGTTGTATATATAGGCCTTTTTCCATTTTTTTATATGAATGATTTTGACAATATTTTTCTTCATATAATCACTCGCGGGGTCGCTGGGAGCACAAACAAACGGAACCCCCCCCCTTTTCAAGCAGCTGTCTTGTCACTCCCGCAAGGATAATGACACCCTCCCACCAACGGAAAGGGTCAGTCATAAAGTCAAATAAAAAAAACACACACACACGCCCCCCCCCGCCCCGGACGAAGGATAACAAACAGGCATTTCGTTTTGGTTAACTTTTTTCATGCTTATTCTAACAAATGGTAAAAATTCCAAACCTTAGCGACCAAAGATGAAGCTAACATTATCGATCCTCACACTCACTCCAATTAAAAACCAGGCTACAATCTACATCAGTGGATCATTACTCCTCATGTATTAATTCAATACTAATGTTATTTTCACCTTTAATAATTTTCTACACGACCTGACCGAAGTATCAAGAATAATTCTGGCAGTCAGGGTTATTCCTAAGCCAAAACAGATTCTCTAACCTCGGGATATCAGATAATAACAATAACTCTAGAACAAACAGCACAAACCCAGGATACAGGCGGTGGAACGAAAATCAATAAACCCTAAGAAATACGTGGTGATGATAATGTTAAATCACAAATCTGGGGAAACATAAACCAAATAATAATTATGCAGTATTAAACCGGGGGGCCAGCCAGAAGAGATGAGGCGAGGTGGGTCGATCACGTGACCAAGATAAATGTATCCCAGAGAGAAAGAGAGCCTCCCGGCCGCCTTTGTCTTCCAGCAGCACGTGATAAGAATTTGCATACGCAGGCAGAGGGCATCTCCTCTTAAAAATAAAAATCAAACACCACGATGGAAACACTACTACAACATACCTTGAGTCACGTACAGAATCATAACTACAAGTGGTAAGGTATCAAATAAATGTTTAACTTCAAAAGCCTCAACACACCCTTTGTGCGAGGCAAAAGAATGTCACACCGGGAGGGAAGAGCAGGGGGGACAGGACTCGACCGGACAGGGGGCACCCCCCTCCTTCCAGATTAATTAGTGCAGAGGGTGAGAAAGAAGGACGCACTCGGGGGCAATCTGGAGCATCGGTTTCCTTTTGATGGCGGGATGGCTTGAGGAAGGCGACAGGGAACCATGCCTTGATGAAACTCATATTACCTCAATAAATATGACACACACACGCACGGAGGACACACGTACAACCCCCCCCCCCCCCCCCCCCCCCCCCACAAAACAGAGCGAGATCAAAGAAAGTTCCGGTCCTTTGTGAGAAGGTGAGCCGAGGTGAGCGAAATTCCACATATAACCAGCGACACCACACACACAGATCAGCTCGACGAGAAGACACACAGCTGCTCGGAAGAGGACAGCAAGCCAGCTCCGGGGCATGGCCTCGAGATCAACGATGCGTGTGGTGCAGCGCAGAGAAGAGGGGCGAGGTGATGCTCTGTGCTGAGTTCGGCATGGACCGACAGAGTGTCGCTGAAAGTTATTCTCAGCGTCAAGCAGTCAACCTCGAGAAAGGGCGGAGAGGGCCAAGCATCGACCAAACCAGCGTTGCAGAAAACCAGCTGCACGCGCAATCGGCACCGCCAGAGAGAGACGGAGCAAGAGAGAGCGCCACCAGCGCCACCAGGCAAGGGCGCCAGCGGACAAGCGTTGTGCCGACTCGGCTCATCCAGCAGGGGAAAGAGCCTGAACAAGAGTGTGGGCGCCAGCGATAGCGCCGTGGGTTCGACCCACACCCACGCCGAGCGGCACCGGCTGGGAACCAAGACAAGAGTGAGGAGCTGCAGCCAGCGGACGAGCTGCGGGCGCTATCTGACGACGGATCATCGCGCACCGACGGCGAGCATCGTGCCGACTCTTCCAGCCAGCTGTGGACAGAAACTGTGGCCGCCCGTGTGAAAGAGGGAGTGCCAAGCTGTCCGTATGATACACACACCCTCACACCCTCACCGTTCCGCAGGGAACAAACATTTTTGATACAAGGGATGCCCAACCTCGGCGTCTGCTTTACGCAAAGAATTGAACAAGTGGCAAAGAAGACACACAACACGCATATCGGGACAAAGAAGATTGTTCCAAAAAGTTATCTTTGTGTTTCAAGAAGGGTTGGCATTCCAAGGTGGTGCGTTAAATATAAGCTGATCGTGAAAAGCATTGCTGCCCGTCAAGTTACATGAATACGATTTTTTAGAAGTATTTTACTCATCCGTTTTCGTTAATTGCATAATCTTGCCAATTAATTTATTGATAACTACTCTTGTCTTCGGGACATGTTTCTTTATTGCCTTCGTATGAATATCGTTGCATGAATTTTTAAGGACTTTTTGTTCCTATCGCCGTGTATGCTCGCGTACTCTGAGGAATAATCGATTGTTCTGTTACCCAGTTAACAAACGTGATCATTGAAGGTTAAATGTATGGATCAATGAGAGGAACATCTCCAAGAGTACTGTGTTGACAATTCCAAGCATAAGAGTTCGCATATTAGAGTGTTAAGGTTTTGTTTAGAGATTAAAGTTGCTTAACACAGAAGTATCTGAGTGGTGCCTTCCTAAGTTCATGCATAATAATCTTAATAATAAGAACTGCATCCTGCGATGAGATTTTTATTTGGAGACCTGACATAAAAACACTAAGACATAATCAGTAAATGTTACAGCGAGAATAATTGTATTATACCGATCGATAACACGAACCTAGACAATGAAGCCGAGCTTAATCTGGCATACTTACAGCACACCTGCATAATTCATAATAAAGGTTTTTGGGTTAGATCGCGTTTATTTATAAATGTGTCGTAACCCTCCACCACCCGACACGGCCAATCAGCAAAGAAAAGTGTCACGTTGACAAAAGACAAATAATTCACTACTTCAGCCCACCGGTGTGTTGAAGAGTTAATCCACATTTACAGTTTGAGTACGACGTTTCGCTGGTAAATACTTCCAGCATCATCGGGCAATTCGCCAGAATGGTAAAGCCCTCGCTTGCTCCCGGTTTTATATAGAGCAGAAGAGTGACGTCATCACTTAACTCATCAGGTGCAGTGATTAGAGGCGGAGGGGGGGGTAATGTAATTATATAATCGATTAGTAATCAGTCATTGGTTATGATTAGTAATGAGTTGTAGATTAGTAATTCTTTAAATCAAAATGTAATGTGTATTATTTAATAATACGCTTCCAGGCCGCACTGAGCCGGTAGCTGTCAGAGCGATTAAAGTTATTCTTGTTCCTCTCAATTTCAATGGATTCTCTAATTAGTCTTTGCCAGTAATAATTAGTTTTACACACCACTGCAACATTGTCAAAATCAATTGAGTGTCCTTGTTGACAAGCATGTTCTGCCACTGCCGACAGTTGTGTTTGAGATAATTTAATATTTCTCTGATGTTCTTTTAGTCTTACGCTGATGTTATGTCCCGTCTGCCCAATGTAGCAGCTGCCACATGAACAATTAATCCGATATACACCTTCTGTTGATAGTTTAGGTAATGCGTCTTTAGTGCAAGATACTAGTTTTTGAATTTTGTGTACTGTACCAAATCTTACTGTAATGTTTTGCTTTTGCAAAACGCGGGCTAATTTGTCAGTTACTCCTGAGATATATGGAATTTTTATTGTTTTAACAATCTGGTCGCTTTCAGTAGTATTGCTTTGCGATCGTGATTTGGCATTCAGTGCTCTGTTAATTTGAGCATTATTGTAGCCATTCTGTCGTAGTGCGTCTTTAACGTGTTTAATCTCTCTCACTAGACTCTCACCATCTGACACTGTTTTCGCCCGATGCACGAGCGTCTTAATAAGAGAGGATTTTTGAGCTGGATGATGATGTGATTCTGCATTCAGATAGGCATCAGTGTGCGTTTGCTTTCTGTAA